AAATCAGGAACTTTGTCTTGGAGGAAGAATCGGTAACAATTCCAGAACCGATTCAAACAGTTACTTTTGATAAAGTAAGTTCGGAACCTCCACAAGGCATTGTTAATGAACCCCTTACTCAAGATGATTTGGTTGTTCATGAAGAACAAACTCAAGATCCTCAAGAACCTGTGCATCATGAGCCAATATACTTTGCAGAGATCCACTAGAGAAAGAAGAATTCGGATGATTACATGGTATTTCTTCAGGAACATGAGGAAAATAATGATATAATGGAAGATGATCCAGTTAACTTCCGTCAAGCTATATAAGGTTCTAAATCTCAAAAGTGGATTGAAGCAATAGGATAAGTATAAGTCCATGCAAGACAATAAGGTTATTGGGAACTTGTCCCATTACCAGAAGGTATGAAACTCATTTGGCTTCAAGATGAATATTGTTGATGATTGTATGTATCACAAGTTTAAAAGGAGACAAGTTTAGTCTCAATCAGTGCCCAAAGGGAATTTGGAAATTGAGGAAATGCAAAAGATTCCCTATGCATCAGTTGTAGGGAGTTTGATGTATGCCCAAGTATGTACGCGTCCAGACATAGCATATATAGTTGGGGTTCTAGGCAGATATTTAAGCAATCCAGGAATAGACCATTGAAAAGCAGCAAAAAGGGTCATAAGATATTTAAAGAGAACAAAAGATTATATGCTCACATATAGGAGGTCAGACCGATTGGAGATCGTCTGGGTTTTCTGACTCAGATTTTGTAGGATGTCAAGAATTTGTAACTTGCTATGAGGTATCAAATCATGGAATATGGCTGATAAATTTTGTCACAGGGCTGCAAATTGTGAAAGGCATTGAAAGACCACTTAAGTTATATTATGACAATAAATCAGCTGTATTGTTAAGGAAAGAGTACAAAGTGGACAAATTTTCATAGAACACTTAAGGACAAACTCCATGATACCGGATCCTCTCGACTAAAGGACTTCCGCCCAAGGTCTTTCATGAGCATTTTGCTCACATGGGTGTTTTACAGTTTGAGGAATTTGTGGTTTAGTGGGAGTTAGTCACTTTTATATATTTTATGTTCTATGTTTAATTTCATATATGTATACATTGTTTTTTGGACATATTTGGTTATCTATAGATATGTGGTTTTTTCGTTCATTCATTACACTTTGTATATTAAGGATATTATATCGATCTCAATAACTTAAAGTTTGGACCAGTTGAAAATAGACGTGTACAGATCACCTTCACGTAATTTTTCATGCTACACATTTCATGATGAATCCATGTCATTTGGTTATGTTAGGATGAGTAATCATTGTTGGTTTTAGTTGCGATGATGCAATGAAAAGCTGGTTTGGTTCTATATCCTAATATGATTAATGGACAGGACTTTTGGAGTATGCTAAAGGAATATAATGGCAATTTTGAGCTCATAAAGTCTAACACATTTGTAAGGTTGTAAGGACATATATATTTGTGACCAGTGGGAGATTGTTGAAAAAATTTGGGTCATGTATATATATGATACATAATTTAAATGTGTTAGGGTCATTATTTATTAAGCCAAATAATAAAGTGATCTAACTAAATTAAAGTTTTGGCTAAAGACATATGTCATGAAAATAAAATTGTGTAGAGACCATAGAGCAATTTCTAATTTGATGAGGGGCCAAATTGGAAATACTAAAACTTAAGTAATTAACCTAATTCGGTTATCTAAAGGGTCATGGTCCCCTTCGAGAGCACACACGAACGTAAGTATCGGTCCCGTTCCTTTCTTTCTATCCCCATCAAGAGAGAAAATCAAGAGGGAAATACAGGTGCTCTTCAGGTGGAAGACCATAAGATCAATATAGTGTTCTACAAAGACATCATCGTTATGGCTAATTCAGGTACGCTTTCGCATTCAGTTTACAGCATGTTTATCAGTATGGGATTATGTTTATGTTTGATTGTTAGAATCAAAATCAGGATTATTATTATTATTATTATTGTTTTTCCAACATATCAATGAAAAATTATGGTGGAGAGCATGAGTATTATCAAGAGAATTCTTATCAAAGGACCCTTGGATGTTATACTATGTTTTGGAGGATTAAAACTAGTTGTCAAATGCTATGTTTGTTTAGGTTTTGCAGGTGATCTTGATGAGTTTACCTTTGTTGGAGAGACAATAATTGGTTATCTAAGTTATAGGATATTGTAGCTCTGTTTATCACAAAAACTGAGTACAGTCACTCAAGTATGTAAGGAAGTTATTTGAATTAAAAGGATAATGGAGGAACTCGGACACAAACAACCACAAATTATTAAGTAGTGTAACAGTCAGAGTGTCTTGCACATTGCAAGAAATCATGTCTCGTATTTTAGGACAAAACAAAAAGAACCTAACATATGTTGTGATACTCGGTTAGCAGTGACAAACTTACATAGAAACGATCCTATTGAAGATCTATTGCAATAATAACATGGAAGACAGTAATAATATATTATGAAGATTTGATTAATTTAATCAAAATCTTCAAGTTGGAGATTGTAAGAATGTGAGAAAAGAAGTCTCATCAAAAAGGAAATAAGGTTTGATGAGTATGTGAACTCAGTTGTGTTTACTATATGGAATCAAAGAAATGGGGTGTTGTTTAGGAATGAAAAGGTGGATGTTGTGAGCTATCCAAGCATTGTTAGAGATGGGTGGTGGTTGTTTGTCAATTTTAAATATAAATATATATTCAACAATTTGGCTCTGCAGAAAAAGAGTGAAACATAATCAAATATGAGAGGAGGGATAAAGGATCAACAAATGTTGAGAAGTATAACAGGCTGGGGAGCTAGTAAGTAATTTAAGGATTCTTGAGTGGTTAGAGTTTTTTTGAGAGGATGGATGCACAAATAACCTGGTGTTATAATTTTGGGCTGAAAGATATAATGTAGAGGACTTTATATACTGATTAATTAGATAGGAAGTATATGTTTATGAGATTAGTGGCTACTTTAAACTACTCTATAGTACTTTGAAGTAACTTAACACCCATACATAAACACACTCTTACATTTGAGTATTAAAGTAATTTTATATTTGTAGATAATTGAAAACATGAATATCTTGATAAATCTCTTTTAATAAATAGAAACGATTTTTTTATTAGGTTACTTATGAGTATTCTTTTAAGTAAATTAATTCAATTTGCATGATTTGTTCCATCTCTTAAAATTAAAAATTAATGATGAGTTTTATTTATTGTGGTTTATGATATGAATCCTAGTGATTTTACTCAATTATGAGCTTACCAAGTTATCATAGAGGGTAAAATAATGTAACAAGTGTATGCCATTTTATGATGATATAATTGGGAAGAGAAATATAAAATTTACTGTAAAAATAATGAAATTGGAATTAAAGAAAATGGTAGACTTGAATATGATAAAAAGAAATTTGATTATGATTAATTTAAAACTAATTTACATATATAGTTTACTGTGATAACTCTTAAATTAAAGGGATTATTTAAAGCTTCTAATTTTTGAATAATCGATAACATTTGTCTGGTTTCAAAACAATACTAGCCTCACAATTTTCAAATCATGTCCAATGAATTATTTTAAGTCTACACATATTCTTATATTACTGAAATATAAGGTAACTACTTTTGATGTATACTATAATCAATTAACAACATAAGTTTTAGTAAATTGGAAAATACAACCAATTTCCTTATAATGGAAGCACAAAATTAGCTGTGACACATTATTTTACATTTAAGAAATAGTTTATTCTTTTAAATATTTACTTAGTTTCAATAAAACTTGTTTTTTTCTCGTAAAAAATAATACAAATTATTTTAGTTTTATCTTAAATTTTAATTAATATTTAAATTAATAACTATTTATAAAATATAAACTAATAATTACTAGACACTAACGTTATTTACAACAATGGTTATAAATTTCTTTGTCAATACTAGTGGCCAAGCTATTTAGGAAGGAGATGCCTCAATATTTTGTTTAACATGTGGTGTAACATTAGATGATCCATTTGTTAGTTTTTGATAATGTGATTGACAATATGTCCTAAGAACCCTACCTTTGTTTTCGTTCCACCATTCTTCTGCTTGTTTTTCAGTGAACCTTCGTTTACTGCATCCAAATAATAGAAAAAAAAAAAAAAAAGAGTAGAGGGGAAAATGTTAAAGAAAAAAGACAAAACAAAAATCGTAGAGAGAAAAAAATAAAAACATCAGTAATTATTCCCTTTTTGTCGCAAATATGATTAATTATATGAATTAACTAATGTCAACTTGTTATATTAAGCTATCATCTTCTTGTAATTTAATTATATGCAAGTCACTTAGTGGTTCTATCTAAACATAACTAGAATAAAGGGAAAATAATTGTCAAATAAATTGAATAGTGTATTATGATTCTTTTAACGTAATAGCTTCTTATGAAACCCAAAAATGTGGTCAAAACAGTTAATTAATAAAATTAATAATTTTAATCAAATAAAAACAAATGTTATAAAAAAATGATTAAAAAGATTTTATTCCATCCAAGATAAAAAAAATCCATTATCTAATTTTTGTAAAAATAATCAACATAAAATTTACGTCGAATACCTCCTAGACAGATATGTCTTTAATTCGACATAAATTCATCTTGGTCGAATATATCCAAATAGATATATCCTTTATTCGACATAAATTTATGTTGATGTTTATATAACCGATGTAAATTTATGTTTTTTTTATTAACATCAACTTATTTTTTGTTAGATCAAAATAATAAAAATAAAAACTCCATTTTGTATAAGAAAAAAAAATGTATTAAATGTAAATGCACATTTTACTTATCTATGCACACTCATCCTCATTGAAAGTTAGAAAAATATTCCTTTATTGAGGTGTATATATGCTGCTAATTTTATGAAATTTAGGAACTATTTCAAAAAGTATATACCAAACTAAAATGAAATAAAAATTGAAAGATGTATCTTACCTGAATTTAACTCGTTTAAAAATTTTGGCACCATCAGACTGTAACACGAGCATCACATAAACTCCACAATCAAATTTTTCAATAATTTGTTCTTCTCCCTGTTTTCCGAGTCGTGAAGAGTCTAATGATCTTGAACCATTGTTTGAGTTTTCTGAAGACGGTGTTCTGTCAATTCTTGAACGTGATCCAATACATTCTTGAAAGACATCTTCTTCTGCTTCTTCAGATTGATCAACTATTGCAACCTCAGCATTCTCCTCTAGTCTATCATCTAACATTTCAGAACCATCACTAGTTGAGGAAAATGTACGAGGTGCATTTTTGTACTCGATTTCTGAGTTTGGTTCATCACTTTCTTTGAGAGAATTTCCTCTATCTTTGCAAGTATCTGTACTAGGTTTATTTCTTTCTTCAAGGAAATTTTCTTTATCATGAGAAAGATTGGCATCCACATTTTCTTCAACTCTATATATTTGTAATTTGGAATAAGAGTCACTATTTGAGGTAGGTCTATCATGTTCATCCTTTTGCTTAGTCTCCAACTTTGGTGATGAAGATGTTTCAAATTCTGACGTTTCTTGAAGAAAATTTTTAACTCGATTAAGAACAGATCTCAAATTCTTACTTTCTGTAATTTCTCCAGGCAATTTGTCAGTCATTTCCTTCATCTACGTAAAACCAAAATGAAGAAATTCAGATAACTTGATTGAATAATAATAAATTATTTTTTTTTTCATTTTACCTTTTTTCCTTTCTTAGGTAGCATCATTAAGCTTTCATATATATAAGTTTTGGGTCTATAAGGCAAAACTTTCATATAAATTTATCAAAATCTCCATTAAAACATAAGTAAATTTCAATTTGAAGACAATAATTTTGCAATTCATTCTCATTTAAAGTTTTAAACTTTTTGAATTAAAAAAAAAAAACTAAAAACTATTGATATTATGAAAAAAAAAAATTCAAATCGAGTTTCAATAGAAAAAATATTCAATATGAAAATATTCTTAAACTGGATGTGTGATTACATAATTAATTATTTCATCAAATTACGATTTACTTCTCATTGTTCGCAAAATTTAGACTCAGTATTCATTTCATGGCCTTTTTTTAGAGACCACACCCATAATTTCAGAAGATTACGTATATAAGCTCAAGACTTATAAAAGTTACATATGTATGATGTTATCTCACACAAAAGAATTTGACAAATCATGAAAAGAAGTCGTAGCTCATTGGAGCATTAAGCAAAGATAAAAATCTAAACTTGCTGATGTTAGTACAAGCTATCAATGTTTTCTATCAAAAACCATTTGTAATTAATACCTGATGTATGGTAGATTCAACAAATTCTTTTGTTACTCTGTGATTAGAAGATTCCACTGCGGCAAGGGCACTAGCTTCCGTAGCCTTTTGTTTAAGCTTCTTGATTTCCACATCTTGCATGTCGCTTTTTTTCTTTAAACTTTGAATCTAAATAGGATATCCATAAACTTGTTAAAGAGGGCAAAGTACATTTTGCAACAACAAAGGGCATGATTTATTGATTTTACAACAATATTGGATTTACCTGTTTCTGTAACTTTGAAACTTCTTGATTCAAAAGATGATTTTTCATTCTTAAATTGTCGTTACCACATCCAAAATATCCAGGACTGGCAGGACGCGTAGGGCTTTGTCTTGTGGTTGTGAATAGGGGCCCCGAATTGGTTTGTGGCGGCGGAGTTTGTGGTGGACTAGGAGGTATAATAGGCTTCAAAACATTTTGAAAAGTACCGAGTGAACCTGGAAATGACACATCTTTCAGTTGTACAAGAGATGGAACAAGAGAAGCTCGTACAAAGGAAGCAGAATCACTGCTTTCAGGATTATTATTCTTTATTTCCAGGTATTTCACTGGTTCCGTGATAGGAGCCAAGAAAGTTTTTGCAGACTTTATTACTCCTTGGTTTGATTTTTCCTTTTCATTTATGGTGTAATGAGAAGGAGTAGTTTTTCTGTCTAACTTGGAAGCATCATTTTCATTAACAACTTTAAGCTTAACGTAACAATTATCACACACACGGTGAGGTCTTTCTGGTGTTGCAGTCAATGCTGTTTTTAATGACTTTCTAGAACTACAAGCATGGCAAAATACCAAACCACAGTTGTGACAATTATGCTTTAATCTTGTTAAACCAAACGGTTGTCGACAACCAGAACAAAGAGCTTGATCAACTCCAGATACCCATTTATGGACGCATATACACGATGTAAAATTAGAGCCACATGAGATGTTTTTTATAATCCTATCCTTTAAGGCTATCACCAATGTAGGAGATTTCCTATTTTCTAAATCTCCATGTCCTAATCTTCCATTGGCACCCATTCCCCATGTAAATAGTCCACCTTTTGTTGTCAAGACAGCAACATGATGTGCTCCACATGATATTTTCTCAACATACTCACCAAGCAACTTATCTTGTACCAGAGTAGGTATTTTCCCAACCGACACAGGATTTCCTAATTGACCATGTTCTGTGCCTCCCATGGAAAATATATGACCAGATGTGGTGAGAGCTACAGTCATTGTGTGCCCACATGCTACTTGGTGGAAATTATATTCCATAAGTGGACCAACACGGGTAGGTTGAAGGTATGTTTCTTTGTTTCCATGACCCAAACGATGTTTATCCCCATCACCCCATGTGAAAAGCTTCCCAGATAAAGTATTCGAATCAGATTGAAGTGCAACCTCTATAATAGCTGCTGTGTGCCAAACTCCACATGCAACCTTTTTAGTCTTTAGTCCGCTCAAAAGTTGTACTTCTTTTGGATACCACACACTCTCTTGATCTCCATGGCCCAAGACACCGAATGCCCCATCACCAAAGGTAAAAAGTTTTCCATTTGAGGTTGCCAATGCCGAATGCCATGTGCCACATGCAACAGACACAACCTGAAGTCCTTCTAAAGGGCCATTGACTATTTTTGGTATCCAATGGCTAGCCTCAGAACCATGTCCAAGAAGTCCAACATTATGTGTTCCATCACCCCATGTATAAAGTTCATAACATTTAGATATAACACCTGTATGATACTCTCCACATGCAATAGAGTCAAAGTTAGTAGCTTCAAGAAACTTAACCTCACGCGGGGAGACAAAATCTTTATCAATTCCATGACCAAGTCTTCCCCCTGATTCTTTTCCCCAAGTAAAAACATGTCCTTCCTTAGTTACTACACCAATGTGGTGTGCACCAGTTGCAATCTGACAAACATCTAGAATAACATTTGACTCTAAAGGCTTAGGAATCAATACATCTATCTTAGAAGGAAATTGAGTTCCAATCCCATCAGATGCTCCATTTGACAAAACCTGACCCCATATGTACACATCACGAAATGAGTCTAGGTCTTCTTGTTCAGACGTACCACTAAAATTACTAGGTGTACCACTTGAAGCACTTATCAGAAAACCATCAACACTTATTCTTGATTGCATGTTTGCACATTCTAGCCCCACATTTTAGTTTGCACATACAACGAAGACTTGATTGAAATCGAATCAACAATGTCCTTACCAGGATTAGTGTCCAAATTTATTGTAGCTAAAGGATAAACATTCTGAATCTAGTCAAATATAGAGGCTTGGAAACAAGAATCTCTACCTTGTAGTCCCTGATTTCACAAAATAATATAAAAAATCATAAAAATTCATTTCATAAAACTAATTCAAGCAAATGAAATATTAAAAAAACAATTATATTCAACATTATTTAAATCAAAATGATAAGTATAGAGCATTATTTTTTTCTTTTCTTCTTATAATTAGATTAAATAACCATAAATAATTATATTATTACTGTAAACAAGTGAAAAAGATAGCAACCATTTTTTGGTTGAAAAAAAAAATCTTTCAAATGCTTCCTCGAATGAATATGAGGTACCTTCTTTTAATATTAAAAAAACTGTCTTTAAAGGATAGTTAATATGACCATGAGTCTCTTCTAGAATAAAATGACAAATAACTAATATATTGAAATCTTATGTTCCTGGTCTTGTTGATTAAGAAAATCCTTTATATTATGAAATTCATCATATGTTCCATGTCTAGTGTTTAACATGAGTTTAGTTTTCTAGTTAAATGTCACTGTGATTGTTTAATAGGAAAAATTCACCTTTCTTTCCTCTCGCTTTATTAATTATGTTTAAAGGATCAAGTGCATTAATATACAGTTGAAATTGAAATTATAGATTCTAATAGGTTAAACACCGAAACAACTTAACTTCTATTAAACTATTTTATATAAACAATTATCTACAACAAAAATGCAAATCATTTTCAATGAAAGGGGAAGAAAATTACTTCCACACTATCTTTTAATCGTATTTTGAATGACAATGCAAAGTTTTTCTTTAATGGAACAACTTGAGCTACCTATCCAAATATTAAGTCATGTAAAATGGCTAAAGTTTTGTATAATTTAACTTGTATAAAAATCAACGCACTTAGACACTTAAGAAAAACACATGTAACAAATATCAATTGAAATTTTGTGCGATTCAATTGACTTTATGAAAAAATCCCAATATAAAAAGATAGCTTTAGTGGAACTTACTTATTCAATATCATCCTCAGGGTTCCTATGTTAGCCACATTCCATCTGAAAAATGGAATGGAAACTCTGAAAGACAAAACACAATAGACAATAATAGAATCACATGGATTATCGTGGCCCAGACTTCGTAGATCCTAAACCATTCCACTTCTACTCTCGCAAAAAATAGCTCCAATGTCTCGATGAAAGTGGTGAAGGACAGGTATGAATCTCCGAAACTCAAAGAACTATACACCGGGTGTGGGTATCTAATGATAATCTTTCATGCATAAACAAAATAATGGATTTTGTTGTTACAATCTGAAAAGGGTTATGAAATTATAGCATTGAGTGAAAAAGGGTTCTGAAATTGTGTTAACGAAAAGAGTCATCGGAAAGAATTACAGATCATGAGAGAAAAGATGATGCGAAATGAAAGGAAGTTCACGGTCAAATTTTACATTGCAAAATGCAAATAATAAAGTAGAGATGAAATATTTGGCACAACTCTTACATGGTGTCAATGTTTACCGACTATCATATTAACTTCATTTTTAAAGCATTAACGTATATATCCAAAAAAGTAATATCAAGAGAGTCATGATCTTTGTAAAAACTTTAAGAAAATAAATTCATTCATAAAAATGTAATTAACTAAAAAAATAAAAAAATATTAAGAGTTTGAATTTATTGAGAATAATATAAATACTATTGAATTAAACTGAAATTAGGGTATTGACGTTGCGTACTAATGTGTGTGTGTATATATATATATATATATATATATATATATATATATATATATATATATATATATATATGTATATATATGCATTTTGTTTATATTCATTAAATACATGTAATTATTTTAAAAATATATATCAGGTAACATTTTATTAAATTTCATAATAATGTGCAATTTAAAATTGAATTTATCAATGAAATTAAATCTTTTATATATATATATATATATATATTAATAATACAAATAATTTTTTTTATGATCATATAAATAATTATAACGGGTTGATGACTAATTCTTTGATAAATATAGGAAGCATTCGTCATTTACTGAAATATACAATAATATTTAATTTTTATTAATTAAATTTATAGTTATACAAAAAAATTATTAAAAAAATAATTATGAGGACGTAGGTTCTGCGACATTGGTTTTGCGTTAGATATATACAAGTATTAGGATTTCAGCTGACCGTCCCTGTATGTACATCAGTGAAGATTAAAATTTTACGGATTGAAACATTGCAATTTGCAAATAGCTAGAAAACAGGACTGAGACACCAGTCATAACATGAGAGGAAGCTTTCTGGATTCTTTATGATCCATGAATAATCCTTTAATTATTTAATAATTTTATTTATTTAAATTTAATATTTATATTTTTAGGTTAAAAATCTTAAATACACGTGGTTACGAAATACTATTGTTATTATAATTTGTTAGAAGTTATGAAATTGATAACCGTATATGTTATTGTATGTTATTAATATGATGATTGGGTACCAAATATTCAAATTTACAAGCTTCTACCATATTTTTCTTTTTTTCTCTTCTATCACAATTATTGCTTATAAAACTTTTAGCGGTTACATGAAATATACCTTTAATAATAGTCTCTAAGTCATTTTTCATCTAGGGTTCATTTAAAAGAAGTTTCACTACTATATATTGAATTTTTTTCCTTTTGAAATTGTTTTTCTCTCTATTAGAGAAAATTAGAAATATCTTAGAAAGAAAAAAGCACTTAGTGAAAGAGATAAAGAGGATGAGATGCATATTTTCAATGTTGTTTTCTATTATGATGAAGTTGAACGTGTTATCCATGATAGAGAGACACTTTACAATGATGATTTTTTCATAATTGTCATCATATGTGATATACATCGACAATTGCATGTATAACCATTGTCGTATTTCCAACTTATAAATAAAGGTTATGAAAGAACCAATGGTGCCTTCCATCTTTGAATTAAAATCTATCGTGGTCTCGATGTGAATGACTTTGTTAATGCTAAACTTCTCAATGGTTGATCTACACGAGAAACATATGTTACGTAGTCATTCTGATCATCTTGAATAACCTCCAAATGTGCATCCCGATTCCATATGAACAACTTTTGATGAGTTTCGAAGGTACTGTCCCAACTTCGTAAATTCATTCCCTCCCGAGCAGCGCGTTAAAGTTGGTATAAGATTTCACCACCACAAACATAATTTCTCTTGTGTATGTTCTTGTTCCCACTATCATGTCTAGAACAATCATTCCCTCTGAATTCAATGATTTCCCACTAAAATAAAAAAAAAAAACCATATTCCTCATTAAATCCTCTTCTCTCTTTCTGAACTACTTTAACATTGATTTGGGCAAGATGTTTACTGCCCCTCGATCATCAAGGACTTTGTTTACTTTAACTCCTTCGATTTATGCTTTTAGCATGAGAGGGTTTAAGTGAAACCTCATTTCCTCATTAGGTAGATTCATAAAAGTAGCATTCACGTCTTGATTCTTGACTTGTGTAACCCACACAACCTTCTGTTTGAGTCTTGATTCATAATAATCTTCTTGATTTAAATAATTTATCATTTGATCTTCCTCATATTGTCTTGCGTATTCAATAGGCAATATGAAGATAACCTTGACATTCATATTCCCTTGCTACAAACTCCAACTCATACCTTCTCCTTGATTAATCGGTTCCAGTCTATACTTGATTAGCCTGACTTGGGCTTCCTCTCTCAATATGTCCCGCTCTTGACACCTTCCTCCGAAAAGGTTGACATTTATTACCTCATATCCAAGGAACTCCTCGATGAAATAATTTTTTATATCTTAGATAACTAGTATGTAAATTATGACGATATGACAATCTATCAAATACATTTTAATTCTTTGATCCACAATTACCTCGACGAAAAACTTTACCTCGCACTCATTCATTCCCAGTTACCTTTGCATAAGGAAAAATTATTTGAAATTGCTTTTGACTATCACTTATTATCACCGGATCATTGTCATCAAATCTTTATTTTTTTCTTTACCACTTTATTCTTTCTTTCCAACTCAAAATTCTTTGTGGCAAATCTATCAAAACAACACTACACCACAAACAAAGAGCGACATCTTCATCTTTAGTCAATGTGCCCTCCACCTTAGGATAAATCTCGTTCTCTACTTCAAATTCTTCTAATTCCAATTTAGAGTTATCTTTGACTTCATTCATTTTCACATATCTTAGACTTATATCGTTTGATGTGATATCCACCATGTAAATTCCTAAAGCATCAAGATCTTTAACACCCTCAGTAGTGTTGAGTTTAGTCTTAACATACCTCACATGATTCTTGAAAGGATCTGTATCCACTTTGATGGAAAAATTCTTCCTTCTTCAAACAAGTAGAGTCACCAAACACCTTACAATAAGAATACTCAAAGTGTTATCAAAATTCTTCACCAAGTAGGAGAAAGAACTCCAAAAGAGACACTTGAAGACAAGAACCGAGGTATAAACACTCTATGTAAGTTCCACACACTAAGCTTGATTTCTTTTAAATATGTTAAAAAAGCTACACAAGGGGTCATATATATTGTTGCTCTCTTCTCATTCACTCAATCTCCTAAAGGATGTGAGACTAATTTAGCCTTATCAAGTGTTGGCCAAAATTCTCATTTACATAGGTTTCAAGGCCTTCATTTCTTTCTTCTAGATAATTAAGGAGTTTATACATCATCATGCTCCTAATCATTGCAATCAAGAATTGAAACTTGGACCTTCTAGCTTGGAGTTACCTCTCTTTGGCCAAGAATAATAGAAGAAAAAAAGGTGAAACTCTTTTTATTCTAGCCAAGTGTTGATCCTTTCTCCTTTCTTTGATATTTTGCTCCCTCTAAGTCCTATATAGTTTTGGGAAAGATGTTTCAAAGTATATACAAAGGAGTCTCCACAATGTGCAACCAAGTGTAGTGAGTGAAGGAGTGATTGTGGTTCTCTCAATGTGGGCATACCCAAATGTTGGACTATGGCTTTGTAGTTGCAGCCCCCTTGAAGCTCTTTGACCAAGTGTGTCCTACAAAAGAGAAAAGGATTTTTTTTTTTCAAATTTATACAAGACTAAAGGTAGAAAAAGATTTTTAATATGAAAGGCTGCAAAAGGTGATAGATAAAAAACATTAAATGTAAGTCTGATTCCATATTCATGTGGAAGATCTAATCTATATGCATTATCATTGATTTTCTAGAGGACTTGGAAAGGACCATCTCCTCGGGGACTCAATTTTGATTTTTTTCTAAGAGAGAAACCTTTCCTTTCTCAAATGTAACCAAACTCAGTCGCCTTCCTCAATAAATATTTTCTTTCTCCCATTGTTGTTGTATTTGACATATTTTTTAGTTTGTTGTTCAATCTGTTCTTTAACCTTCTCATAATACCTTTTGACAAACTCATCCCTGAATACTTCTTCCTTATGTAAATAGAAGGTTGTATCTGGAAGTAAAAGTAAATCAAAAGGAGTAGGAGGATTAGATTCATAAATGATGAGTCCCTAGTTACGCCAGAGGCGAGAGAGGTCATCCCTTAGAGGATTATTAGGAGCATGAATAAAAAGAAGATTTTCTCCTCACCATCCATTTTAAATTTGCTGTTTTTTTGTATGACCACTTTTTGCACTTCCCTTTTGAAGAATACCACCTCTTTTTGGTGGACAAGAAGTCTTGGATCCATAAAATACATGCATGGGCAGCCCAAAGGTGTAGGACACTCCTTTTTCATGTCCTACACCCATTTGTGAAGAGGTAGAAGTTTGACTTGCAGGTTTGATTGACTTTGGACAACCCATAGGGGATCTCACCTCCTTTTCATGTCCTTCACACCCTTGGAAAGAATTTTGATGAATTTAGAGAGGGAGGGCATCTTATGGCAAAAAATTTCATGGCCTGTAGATTCTAGGTCAAATCATGTCTCCCCTTTTGTTATTCCCTCTATGTCCCCTCTCCCAAAGCCTATAAATAGAAGGGTTCCCCTCTTGTATTTAGATGATGATTAATGAGAAGTTTGTGAGAGCACTTTGAGTGTTCCTATACTCTTTCAGTCTTATCTTGAACTTTTGTTCAAGTGGCGACTCACTTATCTAGGGTGGTTTCCTCCTCCTAGTGGCGTGCTACAACCACCACCACCATTCCCCTACTTCATTTTTTTCTTTCTTTCCTTAGCTTCTTTGTCACCTTAGAAGTATATTTGCCTGATTTTTTAAATCAAGTCTACTTCCACTTCTCATGACATGAAGGTGGAGATGGTGGATCAAGACTAGAAGCATATGACGAAGATGCAAATCGTGTTTTCTCTTTCTCCATCATCATGATTTGTTCAAGCTTCCGATAACCTCCACGTGACAATAAGTGAGGAGTCACATTATGTTCTTGAATAACATGTGCTTTCTTTCTAACACCCTGTTACCAAATACAAATAATGTTATAAATTAGTTAATTATAATTGAAAACAAATGTGAAACACAAACAAATGTATGATTACCTATCCTTTCTCATCTTTCCTTGTCTGAATAAACTATGTCCATGTTTTTTCATCAACTGTTGTGTATTTGGTACAAGGATTTTCATTACTCCTTACACCAAATACATAATTTGTTGTTAGTTTAGACTTAAATTGATGTCATTTCGTTGTCATTGAAGAAAGAGCCTTTAATCTCAATTTTTTGAACATTAGGGATATCATAAAGTGTTTGTGAAACAAAAACAAAGGTGGTTAAGACTATATAATTAGGCAAATTATAAAAGAAAAAATTAATATATATTAAATTGTTTACCAATATATATTTGCCTTAGTAACATGATCCCAAGATGAGACTAAAATAGAATCTGTTAGAAAAGTAGTTTTAGATCAAGAGGGGGGGTGAATTGATCTTTGAAAGTTTTTCGCAAATAACAGATTATCTAATTCGAAAATTAAGTTTACAAATCTGTTCTTGAATCTCAAAGCAATCAATCAAAATAAGCGCAACAACTGAATTTAAAGGAGAGAAAGGTTAAGAAAGATATCACCGGTATTTTATACTGGTTCACCCAATACTAGGGCTACGTCCAGTCTCCAGCCAAATTCCAGTTGGGTTCCACTAAATTAAATGTTTTACAGATTCAACAATCTTACACCTAATCTATCACAAGAACCAAATTCCAGTTCCTGCACTCAACCTCTCCACCAAGAACCAAATTCCAGCTCTTGATAACCTCTACAACCAACTTCCAGCTGCAGAGAAACTAGTTCCCAAATTCCAGGCACCAACACCTAACCTCTCACCAAGAACCAAATTCCAGTTCTTGATAACCTCTACAACCAACTTCCAGCTGCAGAGAAACTTGTGCCCAAATTCCAGGCACAACACAATACAAAAGAATGAAAAAGAATTGACAAAGAAGAAACTAGAAAGCTCAAACCAGTTTATCCAAATCTGCAGAGAGTTTCTTCTTCTAAAGAATGCAAGTTGCCTCAAGAAAGATTTTCAAAAGAACTTCTAAAAAATTGTTGCGAATCTTTCTTGAAAAGAGTGCTAAGGTTTGCTTGAATGATTGCTCAAAGATGTGTAAAAACTAATATTCAATGTATGTTCAAAAAAGTTCAAGCCAAACTATTTTTATAGAAGATTTTCAAAACTGCTGCATTAATTAATCTGTTAAAAGTTTGTTTTAATCTGTTGAAATAGCCGTTTCAATCTGTTAAAAGTCCTTTCAATCCATTAATACGTTCTTGTTTCTTTAACAGATTTGTTTTAATTGATACAACAACGTTTATATCAATTAAAACACTTTACAAAAAATCTTCTAAGTTGATTTAATCGATTGTTTCACGATTCAATCGATTGAAATACTGCAAACCTTTCTTATAAAGCTTTTCAAGTTATTTTAACTGATAAAACATAGGTTTTAATCGATTAAAACTCTGTACATAATTTTTCCAAGTTGTTTTAATCGGTTGAAACGTGTTTTAATCGATTGAAACAGATCTGATCGGTCATAATTCAATTCGATCGATCATAACCAACTCGATCGGTCATAATCGCATTCGATCGATCATTCTGACCCTTTAAGTGATTTTAATCGATTGGAACGTGTTTTAATCGATTGAAATAAATTCGATCGCTCATGTTTCAAATTTGATCGGTCATAATGGGTTCTAAAAGGTTTTAATCGATTAAAAGCAATTTGTATCGATTAAAATACTGTAAAAACACTTCTTTGAACATTCTAAGTGATTTTAATCGGTTATTTCAAAACTATATCAGTTAAACCATTATTAAGAAAGCTTTTGTCAAAATGCTTTGTTTTTAATTGTTTAAAATGATTTTAGAGGCATTTTGTAAAATCATTTAAGTGAAGAAACTTCATGCAGCAGAAAAGATAAAGTGGTTTTACCTAAGCATTCTGAAGACACACTAATCCTCTAACTCTTTTATCTGAGTGACTTGTTGACCACTGCAAAGTAGTCTTTTGACTTCATCTTTGACTTCATCAAATCAATGAGATCTTTGCCAATGTATTTCAATAAGATCTTCATCACTTTCAGTCTCCCCCTATTTGATGAAGACAAACACCATTTTGAAAAAAAACTCTACAAGAGAAGTCACTTGATAAAACAGATTAGTGAGAAATTAAAAAATGTATTAATGTCCTATTTCTCCCCCTAAAACTTATTTCTCCCCCTAAAATGATGCTTCCTTAATGTGAGAGTTATTTCTCTAAATTGATCCTAAAGTAAAGCAACTATTTCTCCCCCTTTTGACTTCATCAAAAATAGGGAACATAAGAGAAATAATGAAATGCAAAGGTTTTCAACAGTTTGAGTTTTTGAAAATAAAAAGAAATCAATACTTTACTCATGTAAAGATCAATTAAAGTTGATTCAAACTTATCTTCATTAACACGTTTGTAATGAATACAATTAACACGTGTAAAGATAAGGGAATCACGCTTTAGTAGCATGTTACGAGAACAACCATTAACTAAAGCCTTTAATTTTTCTTTCCAGAATAAAAATCGATTAAAAGCAGAACAAAATCGATTAAAATGTTTTTGGTAATGATTTTAATCGATTGAAAGAAAGGTTTAATCGATTAAAACATTTAAGAATTTGAAAACATGAAACTTTAGTGCAATTAATCGATTATTTTGACTTTTAATCGATTAAAACATTAATGAAAAATGTTATATAAATTCATTTAATCGATTTAAAAGATGTTTTTATTGATTAAAACATTCAGATTTGAAAACTATGACATATCTGATGCGAATTTCTTATATCTAATTTAGTGGATATGTTGTTAACTGATTATCTAGAAAGGTGTTTAACAACAATATCAACTATATTGATTATCTTTTCACTAATATTACAGACCCAGAAAAATAAGCATCAAAAAGCAATAAGATATAAGAGATAAGGTAAGAAGGAACCCTTTTTATCCATACTTCCCCGATTATTTGTGTCGGATATCAAAATTCATGACTCGAGTCATTTGATCCCTACCAACTTTAAAAGGCCATAGACTTCACTTTTTGCTGAAACCAATTTTGTTTTATCAATCATTGAGACACCAACAAGCTGTTTTTCCTATTATGAACCCTACGAGTTATCACCATCCAAGCAAATAACTACATTCTTAATGTAGTATGAAGGAAAATGATAGCATGTTATTCTACCCTTCAAATGGATCAGTCATCATCATCTACGAGGAATGAATTTTCTTCAACTTTGTTGTTTCCAAGTGGTATCATATACTCGGAACACATGCATACAAAACAGAACTAGTGATGACAGCAATCCAGAACTTCCTAGGTCAATAACCATATCCATTCTTATTTCATACATCACTATTATCATGGGCATCAAAAAGCATCATATTCGTCACGAAATTTGCCTTCATTGAGGGAAGACAATTATGTTGGTTCCAAACATCTGAAATTCCTTTACAATCACCTGAAAGATCCTCTTGTTGGTTTGTTGTTAAGGATGCCGGATCATCGGTATAAAATTGATCCCTGTATCGACCATAAAACACACATTCCCTGTGGCACTTTTAGCTTTTCATTTAATTCTTGAATTGCTTGTCTCAAATTGGTTTCCTTACGGTGACACCTCGTGACTTTGATGATTAAAACGAATTATCAAAGTTGCACAATTCCAATGAATTTCACTAAGAGTCTTGAACTAATGCATGCCCAAAATTATTCCAAATATATTGCTAGGTAATATCCAGAATTCTAATGTAAACGTGTGCCCAAGTTATCTGTTCATACTTCCTAGTAATCAACAACTTATTATCGAAGAAAATATTACTTGAAATATCCTTGATAAACTATGTTTTTAGTCCTAACAACTTCAACCATTTGTAACTAGTGTCCATAAGAAAAAGTTACAGTCTATGTTGTTGTTAAAAAAAAACTTTTTCATCCATGGATAACAGCAAGAACTTCCCCACATTATTCCACTAGTCTAGTTTCTAATTCAAAGATTTGTTCAGCATTCGCTTTCCAATCATGAAAAATTTGTGTCTTTGAAAGGAAATTGGATGTTCCATGACAAACTACGAAACTCATTTATGATTATCTGATCAGTTATTCATGAGACCAAATACGGAGGCACAAGTTACGGGTCGGTGGGTGTATCGGTTAATTTGTTCTTGGGAATCTGTTTGACTCGGTCAAAGAAATCTTAAAGAATTATTGCAGATTTTGATTATCATAGAACTCGAGTTTTTGATTTGAATTCGCTTACCAAACTTCAATTGGATGTTATAAAAATGATTTTCAGGAACAAATTAATTAAACAACAAATTATCCTATTAATTTGATCTTTAATATTCGTTTTGAAAATGCAATAGTAAAATGATCGATTAATACTTGAAAGAATCGATTGTTTCTGTACTGGAAGAGATTTAGAAGATGATACCAGAATTTAAATCGATTAAAGCGAAAATGAATTGATTAAATTTGATACCTTAGTGATTTTAGTTGATATAAATTCATTCTAATCGATTAAAACGACTAAACTCAAATCATGAGAACATTTTAATCGATTAATTCGATATTTCAATCGATTAAAATGGTACTGACGGATATTCGATTCCTCCGTAAGTTATTTTAAACGATTAATATTGCTTTATATCAATTAAAACAATCAGTTTAAGTAATCAGAACTCGATTCGTAGCTCCGAACTCCAAGGGATTCCCGGACTTTGTTCTCGCAAAACAAGTTAATAATTTTTCACGGTACCCTTTATGGTTCTCGGGTCCTGATCAGAGTTATTTGAAATGAATTAATTTTTGGAACCCATTTCATTCTTCCTTTAGGAATAACATACTTTTTTATTCTACAATATTTGACCGAGTGACCTTTCTTCATGCAGTAGAAACATTTGATTACGAGTATGATTTCCTATTTG